ACTGTGAAGTGTGTGTGTCTTTCTGTAAATGTGTGTATGTCCCCTGATAAAATGGTAGGATACTCTGCAGTTGCCTGCAACTCTGCAACAAGAGACAGTATAAACCACAGAGGCCCCCATATACTGTACATGCATCCAAGCAAACACACACACTCTCTCTCTCTCTCCTACACACACACACACACACACACACACACACACACACACACACACACACACACACACACACACACACACACAATAAACTCTGACTAAACAAACTCAAAAACACCTGTCATCCTGTGTCACAAACTGAATGATGCAGTCAACCTGCTAGACCAGTTCCCCTCCCACACAGTAAAACTGTCAAACTTTATGTATATGTGTTTGAAAAACCTGAATCTGAACAGATAAATGCCATCATTCCTTTACTTTAGTAGATATTTGAAAAAATAACCATAAATGTTACATTATCAGCTTTTATACACATACCTTTCACTGACTTTTAGAATTATTTGGTCGGATTTCTTAATCAAATGGCTTCAGGAAAATAAAATTCAGTAATTAGCCAGTTTGCCCCTCTGCTTGTGAAAATAAAGGACATGGCGTCCATGTTTAAAATAATAATGAAAATAATAATAATAATAATAATAATAATAATAATAATAATAATAATAATAATAATAATAACAATAATAATAATAATAATAACAATAATTCTTGATCAGTTTGACCTCAAGACAGTTTCTCCACACTACCTTTGTCCTTAAATAAATTCAGGCCCAGAAAACTCTCTGTGTCTGGTTCATTTTTATATACTGTATAGTTTCCCCTTTGCATGGCACATTTTCAGGCTGTATTTGTGGATGTAGCAACAAACTATGTTCACAGATTTTTTTGAAGAGATTTTGAGCCCATGCAGTTATTTCCTCTACAGAGTCATGCCTGTTTTTAATAGAGGGCCACCTGAGGTACTGAAGCCCTGCCCCCTTTGTACAGAGATTTCTCCAGACCTTCTGAATCCTTCAAGGGGAGGTATTGTGCACTTTTCAGGCCATCAGGCTTTAATACCTTTACATTTCCAAATGTCAAATGTATATCATATGCCAACATCTATGAAAGAAAGAGCCAGGCAATGGAGCGCAATGCGTCATTTAGCACAGATGGTTCCGAGTTTAATGCCATATTGGTATTTATGTTGTGATCTGTGCACACAACCCACCTGTGTCACGTGAGGTTTAAATATATGCAACTTAATGTGATTGTCTTTATTTGTGAAAAACAGCTAGGCCATGGAGCACAGACGTATCAGATTTTAATGCCATTATTGGAATTTATGTTGTGATCTGCGCACACAACCCACCTGTGTAACGTGAGGTTTAAATATATGCAACTTAATGTGATTGTTTTTATTTGTGAAAACGGGTGTTTGTCTTACCAGTGGGTCCAACATTACACACACCAAATCCATCTGTGCTTATATGAGACAGTGCGGAGGATGCCCTCTGCAGTGCTTACAGCGACACTTGTTGAGGAGCTGCCTTCTGTCGCCATCGTGTGGCATTGCTGTCTTCAACCATCTCTTGATCTCTTTGACTACTTCACGCAAATTGTAATACGCCTCGGTGGTGAACAGAATTGGTAGAAAAGGAAGATATTCAAGATATGTTATATGCCATATTCAACAAATGTTAGAACAGGGGTTTTATCACTGTATTCTAAAAGCCCTCTTGCTTTTGTTAACTTAAAATGAGCCTTCGGAGGGATTCCCTTTAACGAAGGCTGCCATCTTGCCTTACCAAGTTTCTACCAAAGCACAGAGCAGACAAACTAGTAACATAAACGTTTTTGTCCTAATGGAATGGTTGCCTGAAATGCACCAGTTAAAGATCAGAGTTTTTGATGTTTTTTGATCATACTCATCATACTTAACAACACTTCCTTGTTCCTGAAGGCCACTGTGGCCTCACTAACAGGGGGGTGAGCAAGGGAGCAATTTACTCAAGAATCTGACTGCTGTTTAGCACTAAATGTTCCTAGTTCAATTCACTGTACCTTTAAAACAACACACGGATATGCCTGTGAGCTGGTTGTAAAGCTTGTACATTCAGACTGAACCAATTTGCTTTCACTGGAGTTTCTTAAAAAAACATTTGTTACGAACTGTCATTATACGTAAAGATTGATTGATTGAAATTTTAAGGCGGGGGCACTTAATCATTTTAACAGGCCTTATCCACTTACAGTAAACACAAAGGCTTACCTGATTTGAATATGTGCTCTGTTTAGTCAGTTTTATCAGGCAGTCAGTACAGCAAACACAGATCAGTCTAGTTTAAATATTTGTTGCTGCATTGTGGTAGATTTACCATGGTGCGTTTGTTTTGAGTCAGAGTGATAAAGACTGGTGATTACAGTGTGTAGTCGACTAGGACAAACTGAGTGTTTTACTGCAGTTGATTACTCTGTATATTTAGTGTAATCTGATGCATAGTAAGTGCTAAGAAATACACAAATTTTAAAAAGATATGAGTGTGTCTACAGGAAGTAAAACTGTATTTTTTTTCTTTAGATCCTTTGAATGCCTTTCTTATTTTATTAGAGACTATATATTGTTGTTGTTTTTTTAACTGTGTAGTGTTATCAAAAAAATAGAAAGAGATATCATTATAACCCATGTGATTTTTTAGTATGAAAATGATAACAGAATAAAGTTAAGATTAGTGCTATAAATAATTTAATGCTTTCATATTAGTGTGGAAGATGATAAGTGGAGCGAGAGGTTTCTGCTGAATGAAAAGGTTGAATCACTGTGCTGCCCTCTGCAGGTACAAAAAGATCAGATCAGTCACTGAGCACTGACACACCATGAGAGATCTTTTATTTAGAAGAATTAAAATACCCCCCCCCCCCCCCACACACACACACACACACATTCTTTCTTTCTTTCTTTCTTTCTTTCTTTCTCTCTTATTTTTTCTTCTCCTTCTCTTCCTCTTCTTCTTCTCAATTCTCTTCTTATAAATAAAAGACATATACCATCTCAGTTTAACACAAAGTTTTTCATTAAAACATGTTCCATGAAGTTAAATCTTAGACTGTATGGTCTATGGACAACTTGATTCTGCTTTCCATCAGTGTACCGATTTGAAGCCAAAAAACTCTAAGTATTTCTGCAATTTTTCTCCACTTCCTGAAACCAACATTGGACAGTAGCACTGTATGCACTCCACCACTTGCACAGTAGCATTGTATGCATTCAGCAGGAGAGTCGCCGACAGTCGCTGTTATGATGCTCGGCTCAAACAGCGTATCCCCCGGGTGATACATATCAACATCGCAAACAGGGCGGGATTCATATTCTGTGTAATTATTTTCTTATGTTTGTCCACAGCTCCATAAGCTTTGCTGGAGGAGGTAGGATTTATGACCTATACTGCAGCCTGTCGCCAGGGTGTGCTGTTCTCGGAGTGGCTTCACCCAGTGAGGAGGCACATGGAGTACATTCAATATACAGTCTATAAGTTAAACCAAATGGTGGCAAACTGAGAGTTGTCAATTGTACTGGGTCTGTTGATACTGGAGTTTTCCTACAAAGTGAGATTATTGTGCCCAGGCTTTCTTAAATTATAGCTTTGCAAAACCGAAAACACCCAGTGATAAAACTGGAAATTGCTGGCCCAGAGGTGGAGCACAAAATCCTGCATCAAGAAGATGGACTGCATCTAAGACTAACCTGTAAACAAAATGTACATTTCTCTTCCAGTCAGCCCTGAGTTTCAAAACAATGCTCATCCACTGTCTCCATTGAGATTGAGATTATTATTGTTATTTTTTTAATAGGATAAAATGCATTATGTAACTAGATGAGATTATTAGAAGGGTTAAACGTTATGCCATGTGAAAACAGCTGCACGTCGAGAGGAGCCGCATAGAGATAAACACAAAGTTAACGCATTGCAAGGAGACAACCGTGGTGCAAATGAAAAACGCAGTGCAGGAATAAAAGCAAATGCTCTGGGATTAGGGAAACCACACCAAGCACAAAACGAAGAAAGCAACAGCAAAACCAAAACAGTTGCATTATGACTTGCTTCGTTGGAAGTTCGCCGAACCTGAAGGGGGCGCTGTGAGCCTCAGAGACATATGGAGTTGAGGAGACAGCTGACTGGATTTTTGTTCAAAACAGTGGGAGGATACAGTCTATGGTTACGCCAGAGCACGGTAATGTTATGTCATTTAATTATACTGTAAGCCAGTTTACACCAATCATCTCTTGCTCATAACTGGGCAACGCTGCACATTATGTGACGTGTATTTTATTGTATTTTACCCCAGAGTCGATAACTACGCTGCAAGTGACCTAATAGGAGTAGAGATTGATACAAAGCACTCGTCCTGTTATCCCAGACTTCCAACCCTGTCCTTTTTCCACCTTGCAGATGTACTGTCCATTCTGTAGCTCTGCGCTCACAGCCTCCCCTGCATTTTGCTCTGTATGTGGCAAAAACATTAAGTTTTTGAAGCAAGTCCACAAGGAAACGCCTACCAATAGTGTACATGTGGATGTTGCACAACCTACTAACAGTGAAGGTAAACAGTTTTAATGAATAAAATTATTCAAATGGGGGTTAAAATGCTGGTTCAGAAACTGGCATTAGCACTGAAATTGTAACAGTCTGCTCTGCCCCTCTCCTGCTCTGCTGCTCAGCCACACCCCTCATCAGCTAACTGCTTCCACCTGCTGCTCTCACCTGCTCATCATCTCCAATCAGGCCAGTATATATGCAGCTTCTTTCCCCTCACTCTTTGCCAGATTGTCTTCGCTCTCATGCCTGACTCTCCAGCGTTAATTCCCGGACTGCTTACCTGGTATCGACCTGATCTGCCCCTGACCTTTGCTTCTCGCCTCAGCCCCGGTAAACCTACCTGCCTTCTGTCCTTGACTACGAGCTTTGCCTGCCTGTTTCCTGCTATTCGTCTGCCTGCGGCTGAATGGCACTCAGCCTGTTCCTGCTCTGTTGAGATCCCCCTTCTCGTCAGCTTCACCTCGCCAACTCACCTCCTCTGCCGACGTTGGTTCTGCCAGCTCCTCTGCAAGCTCTGGATCCTCACCCAGTCCTCACCTGAACCACTCTCCAAGAAATCTTCCTCCAGCTGTGAGTTGAGCGTTTTCCCCTTCACTACACTCGTGGAAGCAAATTAAGACTGTGGACAATTCGCTGCTCACGAGTCCAAAACTCTTGCCTGACCTGTGGTCCACTGCTAATCTGCTCGCCTATCACCCGGAAGACCCGAGTTCGAATCCTGCCATACCCACCTGCTATACTCTGCTGCTTCATTGGATTTGGTGTTCAATAAAGACTGTTGTTAAAGTGAACCTGCTTGTTTGTGCTGCAATTGGGTCCAGTCAATACCCGTTACAGTACAATCTGGCCAAAACTATGGACCCAGCACACAATCCCTCACCACTGAATCGCCTTGAGAGAATTGAGGGCGTTCTGCAGCAACATGAGGCCATGATGACTGCAGCTGCCGCTGAAGCCAGACGAGCTGCTGAGACTCAGGGACAATCACTTGCAGCGTTAGCCGCACAGATGCAACAGCTAGCAGCTCAACTGACCCAGCTCCCCTCATCTGCTGGATCTGCCTTTTCTTCAGAAGCTTCACCTTCTGCTCCTGCACCTGTACCCGCCTCTTCTCTACCCAGCGATGCTCCTGAGCCACGGGTGGGAACCCCAGAGCGTTATGATGGAGATCGAGAGACTTGCGGCCCCTTCCTCACCAACTGTTCTCTCCTGTTTGCCCTACAGCCCCGCACCTTCGCCACAGAACCGGCGAAGGTAGCGTTTGTCATCAACCACCTGACAGGCAGAGCTAGACTATGGGGAACAGCTGAGTGGGAGAGGCGGTCTCCAGCCTGTGTTTCCTTTGACCTGTTTGCTGCCGAGCTTCGGAAGGTTTTTGGGTTTGAGAATTCTGGTTCTGATTCGGCAAGGGGACTGATGGGACTGAAGCAAGGCGAACGAACAGTGGCTGACTATTCCATTGATTTCCGCACCAGAGCCAGCCAAAGTGCATGGAACAGTGCAGCTCTCTGTGATGCCTTTCTCCATGGGTTGGCAGATTACATTAAAGATGAACTGGTTTCACATGACACCTCCCTCACCTTGGACGGGGTGATTGACTTGGCCGTCCGCATCGACCTTCGTGTTCAGACTCGTCGACGAGAGAAGCGTCAAGGAGGAACCCAACATTCTCGTCTACCTCGCTCCCGTGGGGGTGCTGCTGCACCCAACTCCACCCCATTGGGTCAGCAGTTTGAGGATCCAGAGCCCATGCAGTTGGGCCGCACCTCTCTCTCCCTGGAAGAGAGAGAGCGTCGACGCAAGTCTAATCTCTGCCTCTATTGTGGGGCAGCGGGACACTACATCTCCGGCTGTCCAGCAAAAGCCAGAGCTCATCAGTAGTTGGGGAGACCCTGGTGAGCTCAACTACCCTGTCACCTCCCCAAAGCCAGCGACCCCTGCTCCAAGGCCGCCTCCTTCTTCCAGATGGCCCCCACACCTTGGCTATCTTCATTGACTCCGGGGCTGATGCCAGCATCATTGACGAGGAGGTGGTCCTTCAGCTGGGGCTTGAGCGGGTTCCTTTGCCTCACCCGGTTCCTGCTCGAGCCTTAGATGGACATGTCCTGGGCACCGTCACGCATCAGACCTCTCCTGTTCACCTGCTACTGTCTGGTAACCATCACGAAACCGTCCAGTTTCACATCCTGAGCTCTTCCTGCCTGCCACTTATCCTGGGATATCCATGGCTCCGTCTTCACAATCCTCACATCGACTGGGCAACTGGGACCATCCGGGAGTGGAGTTCCTCCTGTCATCAGAGGTGCCTGCAGCAAGCCTCAGTTCCGCTTCATCCCTCTGGGTGTAGCTCCAGTTCGTCACCTGACCTCAGTGGGGTGCCACCCGAGTACCATGACTTCCGCCAGGTCTTCAGCAAAGCCAGAGCCACCTCTCTGCCTCCACACCGACCCTATGATTGCATCATTGATCTCCTGCCTGGTTCATCACCTCCCAAGGGTCGCCTGTACTCCCTGTCTGAACCCGAAAGAAGGGCCATGGAGACGTACATAAATGACTCCTTGGCCGCAGGCATCATTCGTCCCTCTTCATCCCCTGCTGGAGCAGGGTTTTTCTTTGTTGAGAAGAAGGACAAGACATTGAGACCTTGCATTGATTATAGAGGACTGAATGAGATCACGGTAAAGAACCGTTACCCACTGCCACTCATGTCCACTGCCTTTGAACTGCTCCAGGGGGCCACCATTTTCTCCAAACTCGACCTACGCAACGCCTACCACCTCGTCCGCATCAGAGAAGGAGATGAATGGAAGACAGCATTCAACACCCCTACCGGACACTACGAGTACCTCGTAATGCCGTTTGGCCTCACCAATGCCCCTGCCGTCTTCCAGGCTCTGATTAATGATGTTCTCAGAGACATGATAAACCAGTATGTCTTTGTTTACCTAGATGATATACTCATCTTCTCCCGGTCCAAGGAGCAACACATTCATCATGTCCAGTCCGTCCTTCAGCGCCTCTTGGAGAACTCCCTTTATGTTAAAGCAGAAAAGTGCGAGTTCCATGTTCCTTCAGCATCTTTTCTGGGGTACATTGTGGCACAAGGCAGCATCCAGATGGACCCAGCCAAGGTCTCAGCTGTTACCTCCTGGCCTGTTCCGGAGAACCGCAAGCAGCTTCAGCGCTTCCTTGGGTTCGCAAATTTCTACCGTCGCTTCATCCGCAACTACAGCTCAGTTGCAGCCCCTCTCACCATTCTGACCTCCCCCAAGGTGCCCTTCCAGTGGTCTTCTGCAGCTGCAGCGGCCTTCCAGTTCCTCAAGGATCGGTTCACCTCATCGCCCATCCTCCTGATGCCTGACTCTGAACGCCAGTTTGTGGTCGAGGTAGATGCCTCTGATGTTGGGGTGGGGGCCGTCTTGTCTCAACGCTCATGCACTGACCAGAAGCTCCATCCCTGTGCCTTCTTCTCCCGCCGTCTATCCTCTGCAGAAAGAAACTATGACATTGGTAACAGGGAACTCTTGGCAGTAAAGATGGCCTTAGAAGAGTGGCGCCATTGGTTGGAGGGCACAAAGGAACCTTTTCTTGTATGGACTGACCACAAGAATCTGGAGTACATACGCTCTGCAAAAAGACTGAACTCTCGCCAGGCCCGCTGGTCCCTGTTCTTCGCCCGTTTCAACTTCACCCTCTCTTACCGTCCTGGTTCCCGCAATGTCAAGCCTGACGCCCTGTCCCGACAGTTCCAGAGGACAGAGGATTCGGTTGTTGGAGCTGAGACCATCCTACCTACTTCCTGTCTTGTAGCCATGTTGACCTGGGACATTGAGGAGAAGGTGAGGGCAGCCACAGAAGGACAGCCGGGCCCCAGTTCCTGCCCGTCTAACTGCCTCTTTGTTCCACCAGCCTTGAGGTCAGAGGTGTTACAATGGGCCCACTCCTCCAAGCTCTCCTGCCACCCTGGGATTCAACGGACACAGCATGCCCTCCTCCGACGTTTCTGGTGGCCCACTATGCAAGAGGACATCCGGGAATTCGTCAAGGCCTGTCCAACCTGCAGCCAACATAAGACCTCCCGTCGGCCTCCTGCTGGGCTACTACAACCTCTTCCTGTTCCTCACCGCCCATGGTCTCACATATCTTTGGACTTTGTAACCGGTCTTCCCACCTCTGATGGTCACACTGTCATCCTGACCATCGTGGACCGCTTCAGCAAGATGGTCCACTTCGTTCCTCTGCCCAAGCTTCCCACTGCTAAAGAGACTGCCCAGTTGGTTCTGCTCCATGTTTTCCGTCTTCATGGTCTCCCTGTTGATGTGGTGTCAGACCGTGGTCCCCAGTTTTCTTCCGTGTTTTGGAGGGAGTTCTGCAGTCTACTGGGTGCTACCGCCAGTCTGTCCTCTGGATTCCATCCTCAGACCAATGGACAGACTGAGCGTATGAATCAAGAACTGGAAACAGCCCTGCGAAGCGTGGCTTCCCATAACCCCTCTTCTTGGGCGTCACAACTTTTGTGGGTGGAATATGCCCACAACTCCCTCATCTGCTCTTCTATTGGCCTTTCTCCATTCCAGTGTGCTTACGGCTATCAACCACCACTTTTTCCAGCCCAGGAGAAGGAGGTCTCCTGTCCGTCAGTCCAAGCCTTCATCCGTCGCTGCCGCAGAACATGGCTCCAGGCTCGCTCCACCCTCCTCCGTTCCGTGAGTCGGTACGCTGCCAATGCCAACCGCCGCCGTACTGCTGCACCTACCTACCAAGCGGGTCAGCAGGTGTGGCTCTCTACCCAAGACTTACCTCTCCGGGTGGAATCCAAAAAGATGGCTCCAAGGTTCATTGGGCCTTTCACCATTCAGAGGGTCATCAACCCTGTGACAGTCCGGTTGAAACTCCCACGGTCCATGAGAGTACACCCTACCTTCCATGTCTCCAAGGTTAAGCCAGTCCACAACAGCCCCTTGGTCCCTGCGGCACCACTACCTCCCCCTCCACGAATGGTCGACGGCGGTCCGGTGTATGTAGTGTGCCGCTTAATTCGTTCTCGGCAGCGGGGTAGGGGTCTCCAGTACCTTGTGGACTGGGAGGGTTACGGTCCTGAGGAGAGATCTTGGGTTCCTGCTCGCCACATTTTGGACCCCAACCTCGTGGCCAACTTTCATCGGCAACATCCTGACCAGCCAGCCAATGAGTCAGCCCGTCGAGAAACCCTCCTCCAGACCCCCTCCACCCACCCTGCTGAAGAGATGACAAGGTCTTGCTCCCAGGAGTTTTAGGCCCACCCCCCCCACCCCCAGTTTAACCTTTGGGATGTCGGGAGCCATCCCTTGAGGGGGGGGTTCTGTAACAGTCTGCTCTGCCCCTCTCCTGCTCTGCTGCTCAGCCACACCCCTCATCAGCTAACTGCTTCCACCTGCTGCTCTCACCTGCTCATCATCTCCAATCAGGCCAGTATATATGCAGCTTCTTTCCCCTCACTCTTTGCCAGATTGTCTTCGCTCTCATGCCTGACTCTCCAGCGTTTATCCTCGGACTGCTTACCTGGTATCGACCTGATCTGCCCCTGACCTTTGCTTCTCGCCTCAGCCCCGGTAAACCTACCTGCCTTCTGTCCTTGACTACGAGCTTTGCCTGCCTGGTTCCTGCTATTCGTCTGCCTGCAGCTGAATGTCACTCAGCCTGTTCCTGCTCTGTTGAGATCCCCCTTCTCGTCAGCTTCACCTCGCCAACTCACCTCCTCTGCCGACGTTGGTTCTGCCAGCTCCTCTGCAAGCTCTGGATCCTCACCCAGTCCTCACCTGAACCACTCTCCAAGAAATCTTCCCCCAGCTGTGAGTTGAGCGTTTTCCCCTTCACTACACTCGTAGAGCAAATTAAGACTGTGGACAATTCCCTGCTCACGAGTTCAAAACTCTTGCCTGACCTGTGGTCCACTGCTAATCTGCTCGCCTATCACCCGGAAGACCCGAGTTCGAATCCTGCCATACCCACCTGCTATACTCTGCTGCTTCATTGGATTTGGTGTTCAATAAAGACTGTTGTTAAAGTGAACCTGCTTGTTTGTGCTGCAATTGGGTCCAGTCAATACCCGTTACAGAAATGCCTTCCAGAAGGTAAGTTGAACTATAAAATAACTAAATAAGAGCATCGCAGTATATCATTTGTGTGTGTGTGTGTGTGTGTTTACGCGCGCGTGTGTGTGTGTGTGTTTGCGCACGTGTATGTGAGTTTCAGAAGGGAACTCATCCACTGAAGCATTTTTCAAGTTTAGGGCAATTAAGGAGAAGGAGAGAAAGTCATTCTTTTCAAAGACACGTCATGCCTTTCAGAGTGAACAGAAAGAAAAATCTCCAAAAGTGTCATCTGTCGTTTAAGTTGCATAGATTGTTCAGATTTTGTTGTATAGGCAGACCCAAACCTTGTTAAGTGACTAATCATATCAATTTGTCAAACTATATATTCTTTACTGCAGACTCAGGCTACATAGTGAGACATACAGAACACAACAACAACCACAGGAAGCATATGTTTTGTTTACCAATTTCTATTTTATTGCCTTTTTTTGCTATTTGCAGATATATGTTGGAGTTATGAGGTTGACAGGTGACTCCCTAAAAGCTGTGAGAGGGAAGTCACTCCCACTTCAAGTTCAGCCTCACTGGTCATTAGAGCAGCTGTTGGCTGCTGCTGTTAAAAAGCAAAAAGACTTTAACCAGGACATGCAAGATGTTGTCCATATTTTGTTGTAGCCTGATGGCAGAAAAGTGATAAATGTACCAGGAACAGATGACCCTTTCACTGTCCAGAAGTACAAGGAGGCAATAGGGAAAGCCTACCAGAGAATAACACTCTACATTTGCACGGCAGAGGACTTTGAAACCATTTGTAAGTTTTCTTTAAGTCTAATTCCATTCTTTAAAATGTCATGGTTTGATTTGAGTTTTTCCACCCATATCTTATCCATGCATGATTATTTCTGCCTATTACAAAAAAAACACTATAGTAATGATTTTTTTTTTTAGCTGCATCTTTTTAAAGGTCATACCGGACAGTCTTCCAATGAAGATGACAGAGGATACAGAAGATACAGATCTCTCTGTATGTCTCTGAGCCCCAGTCTCCTAGGTTGCTCTGGACTGATGGCTGCTGCAGACCTGCCTGACTCCAGCCGCATCATCTATGATCGTCCGCCTCAGGTCCTGAGCTCCTTCTTCTCTTTGGTTCCTCTGGACTGTTACTGCAGATATGAACATATCTCTCTCTCTCTCTCTGCCTCTCTCCCTCTATCTCTCTACATTCCTCCCCAACCCAGCAGTGGCATGGTGGCTGTCTAACATGAGTATGGTCCTGCTCAAGGTTTCTGCCTGTTAAAAGGAAGTTTTTTCTTGCCACTGCTACTTATGTTAGATGAGATGGGCCAAAACCCATCTTAGGTTGGTTCTTGATCATCAAACAATGAGCGTGGTCTAGACCTGCTCTTGTTCTTTGAAAAGCATCTTGAGATGACGACTGTTGTGAATTGGCGCTATATAAATAAAATTTAATTGATTGATTGACTGATTGATTGAAGGTGACAGCATTGTTCATGTGAACTTACCATCTGGAGGCACGAGCTGCTTAGCAGACAGAATGGAGGTGGTCAGTATGAGTCCATCAACTCATAAAATACTCAATCCAACAACTCCAAAACACTAAGTTGTGACCTGTACATTCCTAGAGCACATACAGCATAAACTACAACTGATTAGATTCATGTGTCATAAATGTTACATCGATATAAATTATTGCTTAGTGTGGTAAATTAAGTTAAAAGACACATACTGACCACCTCTATTCTCTTCACTTAGCAACCTGGCCTTCCCTCACGATAACAGGCACTGATAATTAAAGGTAATGTACAGTATCTCATTACAGCTATAGGCAATGTGGTAATAGGTCAATTTGCTGAACTGTCCCTCTAGAAAATGGCATGATTTGTTGTTTGTGTGTTAATATTATGTGTTGAATGAAGGTCTGGGATTTTCCAGATAAAATAAGCACCCCAACAATGGAAAACATTTTGCAAGGGTAAATTTAGCCATTTTTAAATGATCGTTTGCTTTACAAACAAATCAAATAATCAGTAGTGGAGCAGTGACATTTGTGGTTATTTGGTAGGTCTAATCCCAGACCCTCCAAAGACAATCAATCTGAATCCTACAAGTACGTTTTTTTTTTGTAAATATTATACCCAATACATCAAATAAAATAGTTTAATATGCATTTTACAGCTGAATCTATGGACTGTTCCCCCTACAGCAACTACACCAATTTGTATGTGCCCATAGTTATTGAGAGTGATTTTGAGACAGATGACCACACAGACTACCCTGCAGTGGAAAAGTATGAATAATTTTTGGCTATTTGTATGTTTTTTTTACTTTAATGTTGGAAATAATGTACACTAATATTATCTTACACTTTGAGTGCCAAAGACAGTGGCCCTCATTTATCAATCTTGCGCAGACCTGAGCGCAGATCTGAGCGCAGGATTTATCCTACAATAGGACACACGTGAGATTTATGAAAGGGTTCGTATCTGACCGTATCTTTTTTTAACTTTTTGTGCCAAAATTTTAACATTGAAGTCAATGGGAAAATCTTCCAATTCTTCCTTTTATTCTTCCACCTTCTAAGCCTTATAACTTCAGCATACTTTCATTTTTGCTTTAAAATGTTCATTATCTTGTCGACTATTAAAGTTGTATTCAGTTTTTTGATATCTTTTGCAGTTTTCCCACAGTTTAGCTTTAAGCACCTCATGGTTGCAAATTTTTCCCATTGAAATGAATAGGGAAATCTTCAAATTCTACCTTTTACACCTCCACCTTCTCAGCCTTATAACTTCAGCATACTTTCACCTACAGACCTCCTTTTTGCTTTAAAAAGTTCAAAATCTTCTTCTCTAAATATGTTGTATTGACTTTTTTGTGCTATCTCCTACAGTTTTTCCACAATTTAGCTTTATGCACCTAATGTTTTTCAGCAAAAAAACACTAGTTGTGTATTGGAAGAGCTAAAGTGATGATGTCATTGCTAGAGTGGACAGCTCCTCTTGGATCGACAAAACCTCGCTGGAATATATCGCTACCACGCTCACAAATTTCTCTCCACAGCCATAAAAAAATACATCAAAATGGAGGTATATGTGTCCTGCTTCTCAAAAAAGAGGTTTCAAATCATTAAATCCTACCCCTTGGCCAGCAGGTGACCAACTGTCCAAAAATGGCAAATAACCCTGGCATTGGCCTTAAGGTAATTTTTCTCCAAGAAAATCCTGATCATCACTCAGGCTCAGACCTTGTTAACTCACTGTTGTGGCCACATTTTTTAGAGTACAGACATGAAAAACACATCACTGTGTTCATGAAGGGCAGAGGATTCGTATGATGTTCTTATTTTCATTCTGGGATTTAAGAAAATCACGCTATGTGAAGAAGGTCAGAGGCCCTAAATTCACTTCAGTAAGGCAGCTTCTCATTCAAACAGTAGGTCAGTTAAAGCCTTTGATCTCACAGCTGTAAAAGATGCAATCATCTGAAACACACACACACACACACACACACACACAAACACACACACACACACACACACACACACACACACACACACACGCAGTCTGACAATGTGTGTGCGCGTGTGTCTCTGCACAAGAGACCTGCATGTACACACAGTTAAAATGTGTCTGCTTTACCACCTATGTCCACCCACAAACTTTGAGCTACAGAAACCATTCTGGGCTTCAAAAATTCAGCTTACTGAGGACATTTTGGGGTGTTTTGAGGATTGTGATAATAAATTGTATTAATGTGTTCAGCAGAGTCTTGTGGTTCTCACAAGCTCCTTATCATGAATATATACAGAGGTTGACCATCGGGGCCTAGCTGGAGAGCTATTTACTCAGAGACACATAGCTGACTGGAAAGCTGCTTCTAACGGCAATATAAGACACATGAAACCAGGCTCAGTACACAGAGCACTGAGTGTTACATTTAAAACCCTTCACTAGAGCGCTTGACAAACTTCGGCCCCTATTTGCTACTACAAACTTTGAGCAGAAACAGAATATAATATACAGAAACCATTCAGGGCTCCAAAAATTCAGCTCATTGAGGACATTATGGGGTGTATTTAGGATTTTGTTAATTAATTGTATCAATATGTTCAGCAGAGACGAGGGTTTCTCACAAGTTTCTTGTCATGAATGTAGCCGATACAGAGAATGAGCATCAGGGCATTGTTTTGGATTTTGTTTCTCAGCTTCAAGCCTTCTTTCCCCTGCTGTAGTGATGCATCTACTGTCCCCATGGCAACCAATTTGTGCACCTGGAGACACACAGCTGACTGGAAAGCTGCTTCTAATGGCCATATGAGACACATGAAGCCAGGCTCAGTACACAGAGCACTGGGGGTGACATTTAGAACCCTTTACTAGAGCGCTTGACAAACTTCGGCCCCTATCTCCTCCCATGAACTTTGACCTACAGAAACCATTCAGGGCTTCAAAATTTAAGCTCACTGAGGACATTATGGGGTGTATTCAGGATTTTTATTCATTTAAATTTTTCACACATTAAAGTCACTCAGTGATGATTTATTATTTAATTTTTCAAACTAATTTAAACTCATTCAAACTGATTAAACCCTTTCTGATACTTAAAAACTTTCTGATACTTGAGGATTTTTAATTATTTAAATTTTCCCTGTTCAAATTAGTGTTAATATTTATGCATTATTCCATCCTTCAAACAAAATCCCACCTCTAGTACTACAACTACTGCTATTGTCAGTTAAACTTGTATTTTCCCCTCTACTTCAACTGCTATTGCTCCTATTTCTACTTTCTCTACTGCTGCTATTGCTAATATATCTACTTTCTCTACTACTTTGACTTATACTTCTTTTATTCTCAAACTACTTCTACTGCTTACATGACTACTAATATCACTACTTGACTACTTATCATACTATTTCTAGTACTACAACTTAAACTTATGCCACTTCTCACCTTCCTGCCTTTTAAGGCAATTTCCTTCTTCATTCAAACTTTGTGCAATTTTAGACATTTTTCTAGCCTCTTTCAGCATGAATAAAATTTCCTTTTATAGAGCATATTCATACTATTTGTCCTTCAACCAATTAAACAATTATCCAACTTATATTTCTTTTTCACCCCTTCAACAGCTTCAACATTTATACCTTTCTCTGTGTTTCATTAGCAGTTTAGCATTGCTTTTTCAGCTTTCAGCACCCAGCATTTCCACGCATTTTCTGCAAGGAAATGCAATTTTTCTAGTTAATTCAGTGAGTTTATTCAAACCAATTCAAATCTTCCTGATAATTCAAACCTTGTTATCTTTCACATATTATTACATAGGAACTACCACATAAGAAGAAACCTGCAGGAAGTAGGAGCTGCACATGAAAATACTAACATGTAAGGGATTTGCAAGGTTGTCCAAGCTCCATTTAAACACTTGAATATTTGTATACTTTGTACTTTGTGCAATCATAACAAAAGAACTGTAAAATACATGCTGGCACATTCTACCCTGTTTCACTAAAGTAGTTGGAATGAGGACTCTATATGTTTTCGAATAATAATAATAATAATAATAATAATAATATCAAAAGCCTAATAAATAATGAACTGCTAAGAAGCATGGCTTTTAAACTTCCATGGTATGTCAATGTATAAAGGTTATCTTTTCTGCTGCTCTCATTGTACAGTGATACTTACTAGTGGTCCCCTCTTATTCATCGTTTTCATGCTCTCCCAGGGCAAGTCCTGCATGGGCATAGTGCAGACTTTCCTTGACACACAGAGGACTTTTATTTCTGTTTCTCTTATTTCTATTCAGACCTCTTCAAAGTTATTTGTGATGTTTTTATTTTATTTCTGGTGTCACTTCCTTTAGTAAACAACAGGGGGCTCTGTAATGAAAGAAATGAGTGAACCTGCTCTCCAGCGATATACAGGAGAGAGAGAGAGTACATGATGACATTTACATCTCTCAGCTTACTGCCTCACATTTGAAGAAAAATGATGTTATTAATTGTATTTAACGTCTTAACCTCAGGGAAGCAGGGATTTGAGGAGAAAGCTCAGTGAAGAACATTTTGACTGGTGTATATTCAGAGTTTTTCCTCATAGACCCCTAAATAGACTCTTGTTTTGCTCAGTTACGCTGAGATTTCTCTCTGATCCAGGATGACCCTTTCCTAACACCACCACTCCAAAGGGTGAGATTACTGTTTTTTATTTTACATGGAGGTCTGGCTGCAGCTCACAGTACAGTGATACCTCAAGATATTAATACTTGAAGGAAGTGCACACAGCATGACATATCCATGTTACTAAAACATGATATCTCTGCATATGAGACCTTTGTACACATGTTTTAAAACATGGGGGGATTCAATATTATATATTAGCTTTTATATCAGTTAATCATTAAAACATGAGGGTAAATCTTTAAGATAAAATGTCATATCCTCTACGC